ACCCTGCACATATCACTTAATCCTGTTTGCCTCAGTTTCCTCATCTATAAAATGAGCTGGAGAAGGAAATTCAAACTATTCCAGTATCTTTGGCAAGAAAACCCCAAATGGGCTCATGAAGAGTTAGAGATGACTAAAATGACTGAACAACAAATGTGCCAAGCACCTTGCTAAGCACTGGTTATATAATCCCCCTCCCAAAAAAAAAACCCCAACAAAAGACCACACTAGTTCTCAAGGATCTCAGTTTAATGATGGTCTTCCCAAGCAATCATCTATGTACAAATAAACTATCTACAGGATAAATTGGAAATAATCATGAGTGACCACTGCATCAGAAAGGCATGCCCAGGCACCAAACTGGAGAGGTATGCCAGAGAGGCATTGCATGACAGTGAACCAGCTTGTGAAGGTATAGTTTGGGGCGGTAGCATTGGGATCTTCAGGAAGAGGCCGCTGATACATGGAATACACTGCCCTAGATGGAGTGTGGATGGTGAACTCCAGACATACTAGAAGCGATGGGTTGCCAGCCTCGTGGGATTTCTTATACTGTGTCCTTTAAATTCTGACTTTATGTAGTAAGTAAATGTTAACCTATAATCTGAGTGTCTCTTTTTTTTGGATCATGCGAAGTTGGGATCTTCATGGGAAATTTTGTGAAGTGGGAATAATCTGTAAATGTATGTATTGTAAAAGGAAAACACATAATTAAAACTTAAAATTATAAAAAAAAATAAATCAAAGGTCCCCTGCTTTTATAAGCTGTTAAAGAATCTGAGAATCAGTACAGTGTAATAGCTTGCCCTTAATGCTACTACCTCCTGCCTGAGAGTTCAAATCCAGCCTCAGACACTTACTAGCTTTGTGACCCAGGGCAAGTCATTAACCCTGTTTGTCTCGGTTTCCTCAGCTACAAAATGATCTGGAGAAGTAGATGGCAAATCACTCTAGTGCCTTTGCCGAGAAAACCCCAAATGGGGTCATGCAGAATTGGACTCAACAACCACTCCTGTGAGATTACCTCCAATTCGTCCTGTATATATCTAGTGTGGACACGGATGTTTGCATGATGTTTTTCCCATCAGACTGAGTTCCTTGGGAGCATGGAATGTTTTGCTTGTTTTGGGTGCTTAATAAATGCTTGTTGATTTGACTTGACTTGTCCTATGCTACCACTCTGGTAAATGATGAGACGAAATATGAGCACAGGCTCTCTGGCTCTAAACTGCATTCTTTCCCTAGCATCTTATCCCTTTACCTGGTTTATCTGATTTCCTACAGAACAATAAATGCTAGATGAATGAGCTAATTCAATCTTTTAAGTTCAAATTAAAAAAATAAGATTACAGTTTTTAAACCAATAAACTTCATTTTGTTGTTATTCAGTTATTTTTCAGTCATGTCCGACTCTTTGTGACCCCATTTGGGGTTTTCTTGGCAAAGATACTAGAGTGGTTTGCCATTTCCTTCTGCAGCTCATTTTACAGGGGAGGAAACTGAGGCAAACTGGGTGAAGTGACTTGCCTGGGGTCACACAGCTAAGAAGTATCCGAGGCCAGATTTGAACTCAGAAAGAGTTCAAATGACTTCAGGCCCAGCACTATTTCACCTAGCTGAACTAAATCTCATTTGGGGGTTAACAAACTTGAAAGAAGATAATGTTTATAGACTATACCTCCTCCGTGGTGTCTTACTTGTATGGAAATAATCATATCTAAGGTATCAGCTGCAGCATCAGGTAAAGAGGAAGGGGGAGGATTTAGTGAGGTGAACCCAGGGAATGCTGACCACTTGAACTTGACCATTCCATTTACAATATTGCCTTTATTATCCCATCATTGTTTCAATCTTTACCTCTGATAATCTTGTTTTCTCCATCACTGAACTGCAGTGTTAATCAAAACTTAAATTTTCCAGGAGATGAGGGGAAGAGAATACATGAGTTCATAACTTTTGCAATGACTTGAATTATTTGCAGCAGTGTGCTACTAAATGTTTAACAATTGGCTCTCTGGAAAAAAAAGTAGACTATACATAATTTTAAGTTTAATGTCCATTACTAAAGTTTTCTCCATCCCTTTCTTAAGTCTAAACAATCAGCAAAACAATAAATAAAATCCTGTTTTGTAACATTTGCTGATTTCCAAGGTATAAATGATCACGCTGAAAATTTAACAATTTGCTTTCCTGAACCACTTCAAGCTGGCTCCAGCATGCCCTTTAGTTATTTGTCATTTCAGTTCTTCAGAGGTATTAGTGTTCTTTTCAGCCATAAGATCATGGGCTGGGCCTAAATGAAGTCAAACCTGCAGTAGTTTAAGCCTGAAAATGGAATAAAATAAGACACTTGGTAATCCATTTGAGCAGCTAGGTGGCTAAGTGGACAGAGGGCCACGCCTAGAGTCAGGAGGACCTGAGTTCAAATCCAGCCTCAAATACCAGCTGTGTGACCCTGGGCAAGTCACTTAACCCAGCTGACCTCAGTTTCCTCTTGTAAAATGAGCTGGAGAAGGAAGTAGCAAACTACTCCAGTATCTTTGCCAAGAAAACCCCAAATGGGGTCATGAAGAGTCAGATATGATTGAAACAACTCACCACTACCACCAACAAATCCATCTAACCTTTCATCAAAGGAAGTTTACTTAGTCATAGCAGGGCAAGGCAGTTCAGAGCAGGGAAGGGATATTTAATTAAAATAAAGCACCATGCAAAGCTTCCCACTGTTCATGCTGCTGGTCTGGGGTCACAAACTGGAAGGAGGAGCTCCAGCCCCTTATGTCCTTGCTATTTTGTGCCCAGGTAACCAAGAAGCTATCTTGAAGGCCTGAACTGTATTGCCCTGAGCTCATTAATTCTTGAGAACAGTTTCAATGCTTTTCAAGGAAAAACAACTGAAATTTGCATTGGAGTTGGAAGTTTGGATATTGTGGCCACTGTGGCAACACCAGGAGAACATTAGTTTTAAAGAGAGGGACTTTTGCAGTGGCAAGCAGTGGAAATAAGGAAATTTGCTATGTGGGATCCAACCTGACATTCTAGGGCCAGCTCATTACTCACAAGTAGTATTTAGAGGCAGCTAGGTGGACACTTACTAGCTGTGTGACCCTGGGCAAGTCACTTAACCCCAGTTGCTTAAAAAAATGAAAAAAATTTAAAAAAAAGTAGTATTTGTCCAAGATCTACGTAGTGATGATGGACCAATTATAGCCAGCTTTATATGGTGCCTTAAGGTTTTCAAAGTACTTTACAAAAATATTAACTCACTTCATCCTTATAGCAACCCTGGGAGGTATTATTATTATTTTCATTTTACAGATGAGGGAGCTGAGGCACAGAGCGGTTACATGACTTACCCAGGGTCATAGCTCGTAAGTCTCTGAGGCCAGATTTGAACACAGATTTTCTTGACTACAGTTCCAGTGTTCTGCCTCTGTGCCATCTAGCTACCTCTAACTTGATAAACTGTGTATATAGATCTTTGATGGTCTGGGCAACATTTATTTTAAATTAATTATTATTATTATTTTTTGCTTTCAGTTTGGTTAAATAAATTTATGGGTTGCACTACAGTGGATTTTGGTAAGTAGGTTTTGTAAAAGTGACAAGCTTGATCCAATTAACATGGTGCCATTTGCCAGTCAGAGCATTTGGAGAACCTTAATATCAAGTTACTTAGTTGAGAATGACTTTTATTATGAACTAGACAGGAGTGGGGAACCTGCAACCTCGAGGCCACACGTGGCCCTCTAGGTCCTCAAGTGGCCCTTTGAATCCAAACTTGACAGAACAAATCCCCTTAACAGACAAACCCCACTAATAAAAGGATTTGTTCTGTGAAGTTTGGATTCAGTCAAAGGGCTGCACTTGAGGACCTAGAGGGCCATCTGTGGCCTCAAGACCATAGGTTCCCCACTTCTGACAGAAGGTTAGGGATAGAGAGCCGGACTTGGCGTCAGGAAGACCTGAATTTGAATCATACCTTTCATACTTAATAGAAGTGTGACCTTGGAAATAGCCTCTCTGAATTTCACTTTCCTTTTCTGTATGTGAAGTGAGGGGGATCCTTCCCTCCCACACCCCTCTTTAGTTCATGTTGTCACAGAAAGCCCAGAATATAATCTGGGGAACTGACCTGTGAAGATACAGCCTGGTAATTGCTGTATATACTGCAACCACAGCCACTGAAGACACAGAAGAAAAAGCTCTTGTCTCTAAGGACACTCCCTTAAATGGTTCACTCCCTTAAATGGTTCAACTCCCTTAAAAGGTTCAACATCAGAAACTGACCATTTTATCAGTGGAAATGACAACGAAGAAGAATTAACATCTGTTTTGTTTCTGTGCTCTAAGAACCATGGGATCTTTCCATTCGGCTTTCAGCTGAAACCTTCCATATGTTCTTTCTCTCCCATTGGAGCGTGAGCTCTTGGAAGAAGGGACTGATGTATTTTTAAAAATGATATCCTCAATGGTAAGCACAGTGCTTTGCACACAGTGAGTGTTTAATAAATGCTTTCTTCATTCATTTTTTCACTCATTCCTATCTTGTGTTTAGGTATTATACTGGTGTTTAATAACTCTCTCTCCAGAAAAAAATGCATGACATACTTTTAAGTTGAATACGCATTATTAACATTTTCTGGTTTATTTTCTTAAGTCCAGACAATCAACAAAATAATAAATCAAGTCGTGATTTGTAGTGTTTGCCCATTTTTGAGGTATAAATGCAAATTCTGAAAATTTAGCAATTGCCTATCATGTTATAAGCCAGGGGTAGGGAACCCGTGGCCTCCAGGCCCTCAAGTGCAGACCTTTGAATGACTCCAAATTTCACAGAACAAATGCCTTTAATAAAAGGATTTTTGTAAAATTTTGTAAAACTTAGACTCAGTCAAAAGGCTGCACCTGAGGACCTAGAAGGCCACATGTGGCTTCAAGGCCACAGGTTCCCTACCCTTGCATAAGCTGACTCCAGCACACTCCTGGAAAACTACCATGTTATAAATGAGTTTTTAAAACACGGTCCCCAAAACCTGAACATCTTTTTTTTTTTCTTGCTACAAAGGAAAACTTGTGGAGGAACAAGGAATCTCCTGTCAGCCTTTATAATTCAGTCTCTTGTCTTCCTTGTAGAAAGCTGCGAATTTGCCTCATTTTTAAGGGTAGAAAAACCAGGTGGCAGTTACCTGGATGAAGCTTAACACTTCTAAAACCCACTTGTTTAAATGATAGTTAAAGCCTTCAAGTATTGCACAAAGTGCTAAGTAATGTCTCCTCCCATTATGAAATATGCGCCTGACACCTCTGATGGATTGTTCTCTGTATGATTGTGTGTGATGGGGCTGCTGCTGATTAAATCACAGGTTTCCCCTAACAGATTTATTAGCTCTGTGGTGCAGTTCCATGACATGACAGCTGTACAATGGGGCCTCATGAACTTTTCCTGTTCTCATGCCAGGAAACTTATCATTTAACTCTTTAGCACCCCTCCCTCAACCTCTAATGCAACCGAAAAAGAAAGAAAAGACTCTTTTGAAAGAAATTCTAAGATCTGTCAGCTAAAAGCTTTTTATGACGTGCATTCCTGTCTTCCCTCCCCGGCAGCTCGGCCTGTATGTTTGGTGCAAAGGCACCATGGGAGATTCTGAAGGAGAATCTGTATAGTACACGCGTGCTTTGAAGTAAGGAATGATTTGAAATTTATTGAGTACTTCTAAAAAAAGCAAGGAAGTATTTGACTTACTGTGGGTGAAATGGCGCAAGAATGCTTGATAGGCAGGTAGGTTTGATGCCTACATTTTGTGACTAGATAAAATGGCCTCAGCTGTGACTAGACAGAACAAAGCATCATGGGGGTAATGGAAAGAACATTGGACTGTTTAGGAGTTAGGAGACCAGGGGTTGCGTCCCAGCCCAGCTAACAACTTGTTGTATGTGATCATGAACTTGTCACTTCTCCCTCTCATGGTTGCTTCGTCCTTTTTTATATATATATATAGCATTTGGGGGCACCCTCTCAATTCATATATGTGTCCCCCAGACAAGGCTATCTCAAGTTCAGAATATTTTGTGGGCCCATGTCTATTTAAGATCACAGTTTATGAGACCCCAAACCATATGTTTACCTTTGCTAGTGTAACCTGGGCTCAAACCTAGGCATTTGAATAAGACTCTCTTCATTGGTCGAGAGAATGCTAATTTACTCAGTTTTCTGGGCCTGAGTGAGAGGGGTGGAGTTGGTCAGAGCTTGGGAGAAGAGAGTGCTTCTTTTGGCTTTCAGCTTTGAGAGAGGACACTCACAGTTCCAGGTTCAGTTCAGGAAGAGGTCCCTGGAAGAAGAGGAGGTCTTCAGGAAGAAGCCTAATGTAGAGAAGTTTGAGCCCTGAATATGTCCTTGTTCCCATCTTGCAATACTAGAGACTCGGGGAATTTTCCCTTAGATGAGACTGGGGATAATTGAGCTGAGATATCTTGCTCCTTGTGGAAGAGTTTAATTCACTCTGTTGATTGTCTAGTCACTATGATTGGCAGAGGTTTATCATACCTACTTTTTCTAAAATTCTATTCAAGACCTTAATTTCTTTCCTTTTTTTTTTTTGAGTTACCTGGGACTGGAGTGGGAAACCTGTGGCCTTGAGGCCATGTGTGGCCCTCCAGGTCTTCAAGTGTAGCCCTTTGACTGAATCCAAACTTCACGGAACAAATCCCCATAATAAAAGGGTTTGCTCTGTAAAACTTGAACTAAGACAAAAGGCCACACTCGAGGACCTAGAATGCCACATGTGGTTGAGTTTATTCACTATTTAATATATGTGATGGTCTTTGGGCAGCTGTCATTTGTTGGGAGTTAAGCCTTAGGATAGATATAGCTTGTAGTGCTCTTCCCTGACAGATAGTGACTAAGAAAAGTAGTCACTGGTATCCTGTGACTGAGGAGAATGGAGTTCACTAACCTCATGCTTTCAATCTCTTGTTCCCCTCCTGGAAGGAATCAAAGTCTCCTTTGGAGAGGGGTGAGTGAGATTCCAGAGATGTCTATCTCTTCCCCATCTCCTAATTCAGCCACGTTTAGACAAACTCATGTGAACATGCACCTAATCCCACATGGACAGCACACGTACTTTGTTCTAGTCAGCTAGAAGTTTCAATTAATTTAAATAAAAGGTATTTAATAAGGCAAGAAGAGTTTTAAAAACACAGTAAGAAAAATGGTAATAAACATCTCTTCTATAAATTTGGTGAATTTGTTCAGTCATTTTAGTCATGTCCAACTCTTCATGACCCCATTTTAGAGTTTTCTTGGCAAAGATAATGGAGTGGTTTGCCACTTCCTTCTCCAGCTCATTTTACAAATGAGGAAACTGAGGCAAACAGGGTGAAGTGACTTGGCCAGGGTCACACAGCTAGGAAGTGTCTGAGGCCAAATTTGAACTCAGGAAAGTGAATCTTCCTGATTCTAAGCCCAGGACTCTATTAATTGCCCTGATGAATCTCTCCCACAAATACACATACTATCCATGGAAAGTGTGGACACATATAGGAAACATAGACAGAGAACTGCATATTAAGGGAATACAGGTGGCCAGGCAATTTACATGCCTGGGGAATATGCATTGCTAAGATGAACATGACTCTGGATCTCAGGAAATCTCAATTTCGGTATTACCAGGAGTTAGCCATCGAGGCTAGAAGCATATCTTCTCAAAATTTGTGATAACTGATCTCTGCTCAGAAAAGGAATGTATCTCACCGGGTATGCTTTTGCCATAAGTCACCATTGTTACGGGGTAGCAGAGAAGGAAAAAAAGTCCCTTGCCCCACTTGCTGTACTCCAGGCTAGTAGTGTGAGCAAGAGAAAAGGTTCTGAAGGGCTGAGCTGCTTTCACAGTTTATAAACCAAAGAGGCGGAAGTGCCTCTGATAAGAGTCCATCCCCCTTGATTCCCAGTTGCCAAACATCTTCCATTCAACCCCACTCACTGGGAACCAATAAAGAGTGTTTTGCTAGAAAGGATCTAGTGTGTATGTTTCTCATCAAGGGACCTGAAAACATGTCCTGCTTCCTGGGAGGAGCATGACAATGACCCATGCCATATACTGTCATCAAGGAGTTGAGGGAATGCAATAGATTTGTCACAGGTTTTCCTAATTGACTCTCCGTACTCTCTAAAACATCAATTAGTATTACTAGGTGGTGGAAATTAGGGAGTATAGAAAACATACAAACAATAATTATTAATTACTGTGTATAAAGAAAGCACCAGGTGCTGGAAGGGAGATACAAAGTTTAGATAAGATATAATCTTTGCTTTCAAGGAACTTACAGTCCAGTAGGGAGATAAGACACCTGACTTATAACTATAATATGTGAGAAGTATATCAGGCAATTACAAAATGAACTGCTTTGCCCAGCTAGTAAGAGGCACAGCCTGGTTCTTTCCACAACCTCAAGTTAGCTTAGAAATTATCATTTGTAAGAGTACCTTCAGATTCATAGGATTATAGACTTAGAGCTTAAAAGAGCCTTAGAAGTCAGAGTCCGATCCTCTAATTTTACAGATGAGGAAACTGAGGCTTTGAGAAGTTGTGATATACCCAAGGTCACAGTAAGGGTCAGAGGCAGGATTTGAAATGAGGTCTTCCTCTCACTAAGGTTAGTACAGTATCCACTATGCCCTACCACCAGGTCTACAATTTAGAAATTCTCTGAAGGATTTACCGATTTGCCAAAAAAAATACTCAGAGAATTAACTGTCAAACAAGGAAATCATTTGTTTCTAGACAACTTGAAAAAGATTGTTTTACCCTTGAAAAATTGCCCCATCTATTCTTTTAGAAAAAGTTCCATTGATACCCTTTTTATAAACACCCCAATCATTTCCCGATGAATTGTCTTCCTCATCCTCTCCAATAAGACCTTTGCTTATAACAAAATACATCAGTCATGCCAAACCAGGGACAACTTCTAACAGCACATACAACAAAGTGTATTTTTAGTTTACCACCTTCCTACTGATGGGAGGGAGGTTTGCTTCATTATGTGTGCTATGGAAGCAATGTTGGTCAGTACATTTAATCTGAGTGTCTTAGTAGTGTTTCAATATTATTCTTTTAGTCATTATCTAGTTTTTTCTCCTTGTTCTGCTTTCACCATTCATTTCTGTCGAGGTGTATGGATACAACTCAATACAGACAAATTGTTCAAATAGTTGCTTATCTTCAGCCAAAGTCAGAGGAGACCCAGGGCATAGTAGAAGAAGTAGAAGAAATCGATTGTATAGGGTTGAAATTGCTCAACTAGATGACATTTCCCTACGTGTTGAATTCACCCCCCAAACAGGACACTGGACTCTTTGGTTTATTAGAAAGTAGTTTTTGTCATTGTTATTCAGTTATATCTGACTCTTTATGACCCCATTTGGGATTTTTTTTTGGCAGAGATACTGGAGTGTTTTGACAATTTTATTCTCCAGATCATTTTACAGATGAGGAAACTGATCCAAAAGGGTTAAGTGCCTTGCCCAGGGTCACATAGCTGGTAAGTATCTGAGGCTGGATTTGAACTCATGTCTTCCTGATTCCAGATCCACTCTAGTAGAGTGTAAAGAACAGTGGATTTGGACTCAGAAATCCTGAGTTCTAATTCTGCCTCTGCTACTTACTAGGGACATGAACCTAGGTGGTAATTAACAACAACAACTGGCACTTATACAGTGCTTTAAGGAATACAAAGTATCTTACATGCATTATTTCAGCTCTTTCTGGACTTCATTTGTAAAATCAGTGCTTTGGACTCAATGCTTTCTAAGTTGTGTTACAACTCTTGAACCTATGATTCTTTCACAAAGGAGGCATTAATTCCACAGACCTTTGAGGATATGATAACTTAGTGATATGTAGAGACTTCATTTGTAATTCCTATTCATTTTAATTCCCAAATACCCCTTTGAAAATGTGCCTTTAGTATCTATGACAGCAGTGGCTGCTCAATACTGAAAGCCCTATTCAGTAGTCTTTGTGCTCAGATACTCTGGCAGGAAACTGGTATTAGTGTGGATGATGGTTGGTGATTAGTCTTATATAGTGCTTTCTTTCTTAAAAGGATTATGGTTTCCACTTTCTACTATTTTTTTAAAAGAAGGGAATTTTTCTGTCATGCTCAAATTCCTTGAGCTGAGATTTATCAACAGGCTTCTGTGATAGCAAAGTACTTTTCATCAGAGAGAAAGTTGTTTGACAGACAAACATAGTATGTAATTAAAAGATTAACAACATTTCCCCTGAAATTGATTTAGGAGGAGACAACTTTTGTGCTAACTTGTTTATGATTAGATTATTTGTCATAATTTCTGAAGGACCGAAAATCAGCCTATGATGGATTTTGTCAGTCTTAGTATTTATTAAGCTCATGGACCATTTATTCCACAGGGCCAGTGGCACATACCTGAAAAATTTCCAGCATGTCAAATACAAGTCCTTTCCATTTAATGAGTAGATGCAAATGCCTCCCTGCACTCCACCCCACACTTATTTTTCTTTTCTTTCTTTTTTTTAAGGGTAAAAACCAATATTTTAATTTTAAAAGGTCTTCTGTAAGCAGGAACAACCTTAAGAAGCAGGCAAAGAAGGCCAGGCTGTATATTTACAATCATCTGAAGGACATTAGGAAGGTCCTCTTACCCTGGAATATCTCTGAGCCATGGAGAGCTATGCCGTGGTGGAAATGGGATGGAGGTCATGAAGTATGAAGAGGGCTGATGAAAAGAGGGGGAGAAGACTGAGAAAGGGGAAATGCGGGTACTTGAAACTCATTTTCCATCTTTTGCAATCTTGTCAAGAGCTAGCCTCACCTGTAAATTTTCCCATATATAGCCTTCAATGAACTTGGAAGGGGTGAGGTTTCCGTATCCCAATTCTCACTTTCACTGCTAACTTGGGACCCCTGAGGACAACTAGCTACATCTTTTCCTGAGAGTTCTAGTGGTACATCTGAGGATGCAGGCCACCGTGTAGGATTATAAGTGAGGGATAATAAGGTGACTATTCCCTTAGCATCTTCAAAATATTAAGAGACCTAGGGGGGTGGAGCCAAGATGGCGGATTAAAAGCAGTGACTTGCTTGAGCTCTCCCCCAAACCCCTCCAAATACCCATAAAAAATGGCTCTAAACAAATTCTAAAGCAGCAGAACCCACAAAAAGACAGAGTAAAACAAATTTCTAGCCCAAGACAGCCTGGATGGTTGATCGGAAAGGCTTATTGCCCGTGCAGGTAGAGGAGCGCAGTTCGGGCGTGGGTGCACAGGACACAGCGAACCTGGAGCAGGCCTCA